CTCTGTGTCTCACTCTGTCTCACTCTGTGTCTCTGTGTCTCTCTCCCCTTGTGTAGATGTGTCGTCCTCCAGGTCCGCGGGAGGTCCGTGCGGTGCCCCGCCCCGCGTGAAGGAGGTGCTCCTGAACGGGCAGCTGGTGACGCTGCGTTACTGTTTCACCTGTCACGTGTTCCGGCCTCCCAGAGCCTCGCACTGCAGCGTCTGTGACAACTGTGTGGGTGAGTGGGTGGGTGGGTGAGTGGGTGGGTGGGTGGGTGAGTGGGTGGGTGGGTGGGTGAGTGGGTGGGTGGGTGAGCGGGTGAGTGAGTGGGTGAGTGAGTGAGTGGGTGAGTGAGTGGGTGAGTGAGTGAGTGGGTGAGCGGGTGAGTGAGTGGGTGAGCGGGTGAGTGAGTGGGTGAGCGGGTGACAGTGTGGGTGGGTGTGTGGGTGGGTGGGTGGGTGGGTGAGTGGGTGGGTGAGTGGGTGGATGTGTGGGTGGGTGAGTGGGTGGGTGAGAGTGTGGGTGGGTGAGTGGGTGAGTGGGTGGGTGAGTGAGTGGGTGAGTGGGTGGGTGGGTGGGTGGGTGAGTGTGTGGGTGAGTGTGTGGGTGAGTGTGTGGGTGAGTGTGTGGGTGAGTGTGTGGGTGAGTGGGTGAGTGGGTGGGTGAGAGTGTGGGTGAGTGGGTGGGTGAGTGAGTGGGTGAGTGGGTGAGTGAGTGGGTGGGTGGGTGAGTGGGTGAGTGAGTGGGTGGGTGGGTGAGTGGGTGAGTGGGTGAGAGTGTGGGTGGGTGGGTGACAGTGTGGGTGGGTGTGTGGGTGAGTGGGTGGGTGTGTGGGTGAGTGGGTGGGTGAGAGTGTGGGAGGGTGGGTGAGTGAGTGGATGGGTGGGGAGTGGGTGAGTGGGTGGGTGGGTGGGTGAGTGGGTGAGTGGGTGGGTGGGTGGGTGAGTGGGTGGGTGGGTGGGTGAGTGGGTGGGTGGGTGAGTGGGTGGGTGGGTGAGTGGGTGGGTGGGTGAGTGGGTGGGTGGGTGAGTGGGTGGGTGGGTGAGTGGGTGGGTGAGTGGGTGGGTGGGTGGGTGGGTGGGTGGGTGAGTGGATGGGTGGGTGGGTGGGTGAGTGGATGGGTGGGTGAGTGGGTGAGTGGGTGGGTGGGTGAGTGGATGGGTGGGTGAGAGTGTGAGTGTGAGTGGGTGAGTGGGTGAGTGAGTGAGTGGGTGGGTGAATGAGTGGGTGGGTGAGTGAGTGGGTGAGTGAGTGTGTGAGCGTGTGAGTGTGTGAGTGGGTGGGTGGGTGAGTGTGTGAGTGAGTGAGTGTGTGAGCGTGTGAGTGAGCGTGTGAGCGTGTGAGTGTGTGAGTGTGTGAGTGAGTGTGTGTGTGAGTGTCTCTCTCTGTCTCTCCCCAGAGCGCTTTGACCATCACTGCCCGTGGGTGGGTAACTGCGTGGGGGTGAGGAACCACCGCTCGTTTTTCCTCTTCCTCACCTCCCTCTCGCTCCTCACCCTCTACATCTTCAGCTTCACGCTCGCCCATCTGGTGCTTCGTGAGTCGCTCGCTCACTCGCTCACACGCTCACACGCTAGCTCACCCGTTCGCTCGCTCGCTCACTCACTTACTCACTCACCCACTCACTCACTTACTCACTCACTCACTTACTCACTCACTCGCTCACTCGCTCACTCACCCACTCACTCACTTTCTCGCTCACTCACTCACTTACTCACCCACTCACTCACTCACCCGTTCACTCACCCACTCACTCACTCACCCGTTCACTCACCCACTCACTCACTCACCCACTCACTCACTCACTCACCCACTCACTCACTCACCCACTCACTCACTCACTCACACGCTCACTCACTTGTTCACTCGCTCACTCACTTACTCGCTCAACCGCTCACTCGCTCGCTCACTTGTTCACCCGTTCACTCGCTCACTCGCTCACTCACTCACTCACACACTCACTCACTTACTCGCTCACTCGCTCACCCGTTCACTCGCTCACCCGTTCACTCGCTCGCTCACTCACTCACTCGCTCACCCGCTCACTCACTCAGACACTCACTCACCTGCCTACTCGCTCACCCACCCGCTAACCCGCCCGCTCACCCGCCTGCTCACCCACTCGTTCACCAAATCACTCACCCACTCGCTCACCCGCTCACTCGCTCACCCGCCCACTCGCTCACCCACTCACCAATTCAGTGGTTGTAGTGATGTTGTTGTGGTGGTGGTGATTAACGTGGTGGTTGTAGTTAAGGTGGTGGTTGTGGTGGTGGTTAATGTGGTGGTTAATGTGGTGGTGGTTAATGTGGTGGTGGTTAACGTGGTGGTGGTTAACGTGGTGGTTGTGGTGGTGGTTAACGTGGTTGTGGTGGTGGTTAACGTGGTGGTTGTGGTGGTGGTTAACGTGGTGGTTGTGGTGGTTAACGTGGTGGTTGTGGTGGTGGTTAACGTGGTGGTTGTGGTGGTGGTTAACGTAGTGGTTGTGGTGGTTAATGTGGTGGTTAACGTGGTGGTTGTGGTGGTTGTGGTGGTTGTAGTGGTGGTTGTAGTGGTGGTTGTAGTGGTGGTTGTGGTGGTGGTTAACGTGGTGGTTAACGTGGTGGTTGTGGTGGTTGTGGTGGTTAACGTGGTGGTTGTGGTGGTTAACGTGGTGGTTGTGGTGGTTGTGGTGGTTAACGTGGTGGTTAATGTGTTGGTGGTTGTGGTGGTGGTTAACGTGGTGGATAATGTGGTGGTTGTTAACGTGGTGGTGGTTGTTAACGTGGTGGTTGTTAATGTGGTGGTGGTTAATGTGGTGGTTGTGGTGGTGGTTGTTAATGTGGTTGTGGTTAATGTGGTGGTTAATGTGGTGGTGGTTGTTAACGTGGTGGTGGTGGTTGTGGTGGTGGTTGTGGTGGTGGTTGTGGTGGTGGTTAACGTGGTGGTTGTTAATGTGGTGGTGGTTAATGTGGTGGTGGTTAATGTGGTGGTGGTTAATATGGTGGTGGTTAACGTGGTGGTGGTTAACGTGGTGGTGGTTAATGTGGTGGTGGTTGTGGTGGTTGTTAATGTGGTGGTTGTTAATGTGGTTGTGGTGGTGGTTGTGTTGGTGGTTGTTAACGTGGTGGTTGTGGTGGTGGTTGTGGTGGTTAATGTGGTTGTGGTTGTTAACGTGGTTGTGGTTGTTGTGGTTGTGGTTGTTAACGTGGTGGTGGTTCTGGTTGTGGTGGTTGTTAACGTGGTGGTGGTTGTGGTGGTGGTTGTGGTGGTTGTTAGCGTGGTGGTTGTGGTTGTTAACGTGGTGGTTGTGGTGGTGGTTGTGGTTGTTAATGTGGTTGTGGTTGTTGTGGTGGTGGTTGTGGTGGTGGTTGTGGTGGTTGTTAACGTGGTGGTTGTGGTGGTGGTTGTGGTTGTTAATGTGGTTGTGGTTGTTGTGGTTGTGGTTGTTGTGGTGGTGGTTAACGTGCTGGTTAACGTGGTGGTGGTGGTCGTGGTGGTGGTTGTGGTTGTTAACGTGGTTGTGGTGGTGGTTGTGTTGGTGGTTGTTAACGTGGTGGTTGTGGTGGTGGTTGTGGTTGTTAACGTGGTTGTGGTGGTGGTTGTGTTGGTGGCTGTTAACGTGGTGGTTGTGGTGGTGGTTGTTAACGTGGTGGTGGTTGTTGTTGTGGTTGTTGTGGTTGTGGTTGCTAACGTGGTGGTGGTTGTGGTTGTGGTGGTTGTTAACGTGCTGGTTAACGTGGTGGTGGTTGTGGTTGTGGTGGTGGTTGTGGTTGTTAATGTGGTTGTGGTTGTTAACGTGGTGGTTGTGGTTGTTAACGTGGTGGTTGTTAACGTGGTGGTTGTTAACGTGGTGGTGGTTGTTGGTGGTTGTTAACGTGGTGGTTGTGGTGGTGGTTGTGGTGGTTAATGTGGTTGTGGTTGTGGTTGTTAACGTGGTTGTGGTTGTGGTTGTTAACGTGGTGGTGGTTCTGGTTGTGGTTGTGGTGGTTGTTAACGTAGTGGTGGTTGTGGTGGTGGTTGTTGTGGTTGTGGTGGTGGTTGTGGTGGTTGTTAGCGTGGTGGTTGTGGTTGTTAACGTGGTGGTTGTGGTGGTGGTTGTGGTTGTTAATGTGGTTGTGGTTGTTGTGGTGGTGGTTGTGGTGGTGGTTGTGGTGGTTGTTAACGTGGTGGTTGTGGTGGTGGTTGTGGTGGTTGTTAACGTGGTGGTTGTGGTGGTGGTTGTTAATGTGGTTGTTGTGGTTGTGGTTGTTGTGGTGGTGGTTGTTAACGTGCTGGTTAACGTGGTGGTGGTTGTGGTGGTGGTTGTGGTGGTGATTGTGGTTGTTAACGTGGTTGTGGTGGTGGTTGTGTTGGTGGCTGTTAACGTGGTGGTTGTGGTGGTGGTTGTGGTTGTTAACGTGGTGGTGGTTGTGGTGGTGGTTGTGGTTGTTAACGTGGTGGTGGTTGTTGTTGTGGTTGCTAACGTGGTGGTGGTTGTTGTTGTGGTTGCTAACGTGGTGGTGGTTCTGGTTGTGGTTGTGGTGGTTGTTAACATGGTGGTGGTTGTGGTTGTTAATGTGGTTGTGGTTGTTAATGTGGTTGTGGTTGTTAACGTGGTGGTTGTGGTTGTTAACGTGGTGGTGGTGGGGGTGGTTGTTAACGTGGTTGTGGTTGTGGTTGTTAACGTGGTTGTGGTTGTTGTGGTTGTGGTTGTTAACGTGGTTGTTGTGGTTGTTAACGTGGTGGTTGTTAACGTGGTGGTTGTTAACGTGGTGGTTGTTAACGTGGTTGTGGTTGTTATCGTGATGGTGGTGGTTGTTATCGTGATGGTGGTGGTTGTTATCGTGATGGTGGTGGTTGTGGTTGTTAATGTGGTTGTTAATGTGGTTGTTAATGTGGTCGTTAATGTGGTTGTTGTGGTTGTTAATGTGGTGGTTGTGGTTGTTAATGTGGTGGTTGTGGTTGTTAATGTGGTGGTTGTGGTTGTTAATGTGGTGGTTGTGGTTGTTGTGGTTGTTGTGGTTGTTATCGTGACGGTGGTGGTGGTGGTGGTTGTTAACGTGGTTGTTGTGGTTAATGTGGTTGTGGTGGTTAATGTGGTTGTGGTAGTTAACGTGGTGGTGGTTGTGATTGTTAACGTGGTTCTGGTTGTGGTTGTTGTTAATGTGGTTGTTGTGGTTGTGGTTAATGTGGTTGTGGTTGTTGTTGTGGTCGTGGTTGTTAACGTGGTGGTGGTTGTTAACGTGGTTGTTGTGGTTGTGGTTGTTAATGTGGTTGTGGTAGTTGTGGTTGTTAATGTGGTTGTGGTTGTTAATGTGGTTGTTCTGGTTGTGGTTGTTAATGTGGTTGTGGTTGTTAACGTGGTGGTTGTTAACGTGGTTGTGGTTGTTAACGTGGTTCTGGTTGTGGTTGTTAATGTGGTTGTTGTGGTTAATGTTGTTGTGGTTGTGGTGGTTGTGGTGGTTGTGGTTGTTAACGTGGTGGTGGTTGTTAACGTGGTTGTTGTGGTTGTGGTTGTTAACGTGGTTGTTGTGGTTGTGGTTGTTGTGGTGGTTGTGGTTGTTAACGTGGTGGTTGTGGTTGTGGTTGTTGTGGTTGTGGTGGTTGTTAACGTGGTTGTTGTGGTTAATGTGGTTGTGGTTGTGGTTGTTTCCTGCAGGCTCCAGGCACGCTGGGTTCGTGTCGGCACTGAAAGAATCTCCCGCCAGATATCCTGACTCAGTCACTCCTCACTCAGACACTTAGTCAGTCAGTCAGCCACTTAGTCAGTCAGTCAGCCACTCGGTCACTCAGTCACTCACTCAGTCACTCAGTCACTCATTCAGTCACTCACTCAGTCACTCAGTCAGTCAGCCACTCAATCAGTCAGCCACTTAGTCAGTCAGTCAGCCACTCACTCACTCAGCCACTCAGTCAGTCAGCCACTTAGTCACTCAGCGACTCAGTCAGCCACTCAGTCAGCCACTCAGTCAGTCACTCACTCAGTCAGTCACTCACTCAGTCAGCCACTCAGACACTCAGTCAGCCACTCACTCAGTCAGCCACTCAGTCAGTCAGTCACTCAGTCAGTCAGCCACTCAGTCAGTCACTCACTCAGTCAGCCACTCACTCAGTCAGTCAGTCAGCCACTCAGTCAGTCAGCCACTCAGTCAGTCAGCCACTCACTCAGTCAGTCAGCCACTTAGTCACTCAGCGACTCACTCAGTCACTCACTCAGTCAGCCACTCAGTCAGTCAACTCACTCAGTCAGTCACTCACTCAGTCAGCCACTCAGCCACTCAGTCAGTCACTCACTCAGTCAGCCACTCAGACACTCAGTCAGCCACTCACTCAGTCAGCCACTCAGTCAGTCAGTCACTCAGTCAGTCAGCCACTCAGTCACTCAGTCAGCCACTCACTCAGTCAGCCACTCAGTCAGTCAGTCAGTCACTCAGTCAGTCAGCCACTCAGTCACTCAGTCAGCCACTCACTCAGTCACAGTGTCACTCACTGTGTCACTCACTGTGTCACTCACTGTGTCACTCACTGTGTCACTCCTTGACTTCTCCACACTGCTGTGGAGGTGCTGGTTTGCTTCCTGTCCGTGTGGTCCATCCTGGGCCTGTCGGGGTTCCACACTTACCTGGTGCTGGTGAACCAGACTACGAACGAGGATGTGAGTGGGGGACACTCACTCGGTGTGTCACTCACTGTGTCACTCACTGTGTCACTCGGTGTGTCACTCGGTGTGTCACTCACTGTGTCACTCACTCACTGTGTCACTCACTGTGTCACTCACTGTGCTGGTTTGCTTCCTGTCTGTGTGGTCCATCCTGGGCCTATCGGGGTTCCACACTTACCTGGTGCTGGTGAACCAGACTACGAACGAGGATGTGAGTATGGGACACTCACTCGGTGTGTCACTCACTGTGTCACTCACTCACTCACTGTGTCACTCACTGTGCTGGTTTGCTTCCTGTCCGTGTGGTCCATCCTGGGCCTGTCGGGGTTCCACACTTACCTGGTGCTGGTGAACCAGACTACGAACGAGGATGTGAGTGGGGGACACTCACTCACTGTGTCACTCACTCACTGTGTCACTCACTGTGTCACTCACTGTGTCACTGTGTCACTCACTGTGTCACTCACTCACTCACTGTGTCACTGTGACACTCACTGTGTCACTCACTGTGTCACTCACTGTGTCACTCACTCACTGTGTCACTGTGACACTCACTGTGTCACTCACTGTGTCACTCACTGTGCTGGTTTGCTTCCTGTCCGTGTGGTCCATCCTGGGCCTATCGGGGTTCCACACTTACCTGGTGCTGGTGAACCAGACTACGAACGAGGATGTGAGTGGGGGACACTCACTCGGTGTGTCACTCACTGTGTCACTCACTGTGTCACTCACTGTGTCACTCACTCACTGTGTCACTCACTGTGTCACTGTGTCACTCACTGTGACACTCACTCACTCACTGTGTCACTCACTGTGTCACTCACTGTGTCACTCACTGTGCTGGTTTGCTTCCTGTCTGTGTGGTCCATCCTGGGCCTATCGGGGTTCCACACTTACCTGGTGCTGGTGAACCAGACTACGAACGAGGATGTGAGTGGGGGACACTCACTCGGTGTGTCACTCACTGTGTCACTCACTGTGTCACTCACTCACTGTGTCACTCACTCACTGTGTCACTCACTGTGTCACTCACTGTGTCACTCACTGTGACACTTACTCAGTCACTCACTCACTGTGTCACTCACTGTGTCACTCACTCACTGTGTCACTCACTCGCTGTGTCACTCACTCACTGTGTCACTCACTCACTGTGTCACTCACTGTGTCACTCACTGTGTCACTCACTGTGTCACTCGCTGTGTCACTCACTGTGTCACTCACTCACTGTGTCACTCACTGTGTCACTCACTGTGTCACTCACTCACTGTGTCACTCACTGTGTCACTCACTGTGTCACTCACTCACTGTGTCACTCACTCACTGTGTCACTCACTGTGTCACTCACTGTGTCACTCACTCACTGTGTCACTCACTCACTGTGTCACTCACTGTGTCACTCACTGTGTCACTCACTCACTGTGTCACTCACTCACTGTGTCACTCACTGTGTCACTCACTGTGTCACTCACTGTGTCACTCACTCACTGTGTCACTCACTGTGTCACTCACTGTGTCACTCACTCACTGTCACTCACTGTGTCACCCACTGTGTCACTCACTCACTGTGTCACTCACTCACTGTGTCACTCACTGTGTCACTCACTGTGTCACTCACTCACTGTCACTCACTGTGTCACCCACTGTGTCACTCACTGTGTCACTCACTGTGTCACTCACTCACTGTAACACTCACTGTGACACTCACTGTAACACTCACTGTGACACTCACTGTGACACTCACTGTGACACTCACTGTGTCACTCACTGTGTCACTGTGTCACTCACTGTGTCACTCACTGTGTCACTCACTGTGTCACTCACTGTGGCACTCACTCACTGTGTCACTCACTCACTGTGTCACTCACTGTGTCACTCACTGTGTCACTCACTGTGTCACTCACTCACTGTGTCACTCACTGTGTCACTCACTCACTGTGTCACTCACTGTGTCACTCACTGTGTCACTCACTCACTGTGTCACTCACTGTGTCACTCACTGTGTCACTCACTCACTGTGTCACTCACTGTGACACTCACTGTGTCACTCACTGTCACTCACTGTCACTCACTGTGTCACTCACTCACTGTGTCACTGTGTCACTCACTCACTGTGTCACTCACTGTGACACTCACTCACTGTGTCACTCACTCACTGTGTCACTCACTGTGTCACTCACTGTGTCACTCACTCACTCACTGTGTCACTCACTGTGTCACTCACTCACTGTGTCACTCACTGTGTCACTCGCTGTGTCACTCGCTGTGTCACTCATTGTGTCACTCACTGTGTCACTCACTGTGTCACTCACTGTCACTCACTCGCTGTGTCACTCACTCACTGTGTCACTCACTCACTGTGTCACTCACTGTGTCACTCACGTGACACTCACTGTGTCACTCACTGTGTCACTCACGTGACACTCACTGTGTCACTCACTCACTGTGTCACTCACTGTGTCACTCACGTGACACTCACTGTGTCACTCACTCACTGTGTCACTCACTGTGTCACTCACTGTGTCACTCACTCACTGTGTCACTCACTCACTGTGTCACTCACTGTGTCACTCACTGTGTCACTCACTGTGTCACTCACTCACTGTCACTCACTCACTGTCACTCACTCACTGTCACTCACTGTGTCACCCACTGTGTCACTCACTCACTGTGTCACTCACTCACTGTGTCACTCACTGTGTCACTCACTGTGTCACTCACTCACTGTGTCACTCACTGTGACACTCACTCACTGTGTCACTCACTCACTGTGTCACTCACTGTGTCACTCACTGTGTCACTCACTGTGTCACTCACTCACTGTGTCACTCACTCACTGTGCCACTCACTGTGTCACTCACTGTGTCACTCACTGTGTCACTCACTGTGTCACTCACTCGCTGTGTCACTCACTCACTGTGTCACTCACTCGCTGTGTCACTCACTCACTGTGTCACTCACTCACTGTGTCACTCACTGTGTCACTCACGTGACACTCACTGTGTCACTCACTGTGTCACTCACGTGACACTCACTGTGTCACTTACTCACTGTGTCACTCACTCACTGTGTCACTCACTCCGTGTCACTCACTGTGTCACTCACTGTGTCACTCACTCACTGTGTCACTCACTCACTCACTGTGTCACTCACTGTGTCACTCACTGTGTCACTCACTGTGTCACTGTGACACTCACTCACTGTCACTCACTGTGTCACTCACTCACTGTGTCACTCACTGTGTCACTCACTGTGTCACTCACTGTCACTCACTGTGACAGTCACTGTGTCACTCACTCACTGTGTCACTCACTCACTCACTGTGTCACTCACTCACTCACTGTCACTCACTGTGTCACTCACTGTGTCACTCACTCACTGTCACTCACTGTGACACTCACTGTGTCACACACTGTTACTCACTCACTGTGTCACTCACTGTGTCACTCACTGTGTCACTGTCACTCGCTGTCACTCACTCGCTGTGTCACTCACTCGCTGTGTCACTCACTGTGTCACTCACTGTGTCACTCACTGTGTCACTCACTGTGTCACTCACTCACTGTCACTCACTCACTGTGTCACTCACTGTGTCACTCACTGTGTCACTCACTGTGTCACTGTGTCACTGTGTCACTCACTATGTCACTCACTGTGTCACTCACTGTGTCACTCACTCACTGTGTCAATCACTGTGTCACTCACTGTGTCACTCACTGTGTCACTCACTGTGTCACTCACTCACTGTGTCACTCACTCACTGTGTCACTCACTGTGTCACTCACTGTGTCACTCCCTGTGTCACTCACTCACTGTGTCACTCACTGTGTCACTCACTGTGTCACTCACTGTGTCACTCACTCCCTGTGTCACTCCCTGTGTCACTCACTCCCTGTGTCACCCACGTGACCCCCAGATGAAGAAGTCTTGGTCCAACCGTAGGGGTCGCGACAATTTCAACCCCTACAGCCAGGGGGGTCTCCTGCAGAACTGTGCCCAGGTGCTGTGTGGACCCCTACAGCCCAGGTAAACCCCGTTAAGGGGGGTCTCTGGGGGTACCCCTACAGCACAGGTAAACCCCTTTAAGGGGGTCTCTGGGGGTACCCCTACATCCCAGGTAAACCCCGTTAAGGGGGGTCTCTGGGGGTACCCCTACAGCCCTGGTAAACCCCCGTTAAGGGGGTCTCTGGAGGTACCCCTACAGCCCAGGTAAACCCCGTTAAGGGGGTCTCTGGAGGTACCCCTACAGCCCAGGTAAACCCCGTTAAGGGGGTCTCTGGGGGTACCCCTACAGCCCTGGTAAACCCCCGTTAAGGGGGTCTCTGGGGGTACCCCTACAGCCCAGGTAAACCCCCGTTAAGGGGGTCTCTGGGGGTACCCCTACAGTCCAGGTAAACCCCGTTAAGGGGGGTCTCTGGGGGTACCCCTACAGCCCAGGTAAACCCCGTTAAGGGGGGTCTCTGGGGGTACCCCTACAGCCCAGGTAAACCCCGTTAAGGGGGGTCTCTGGGGGTACCCCTAGAGCCCAGGTAAACCCCGTTAAGGGGGTCTCTGGGGGTACCCCTACAGTCCAGGTAAACCCCGTTAAGGGGGTCTCTGGGGGTACCCCTACAGCCCAGGTAAACCCCGTTAAGGGGGGTCTCTGGGGGTACCCCTACAGTCCAGGTAAACCCCTGTTAAGGGGGTCTCTGGGGGTACCCCTACAGCCCAGGTAACCCCCGTTAAGGGGGTCTCTGGGGGTACCCCTACAGCCCAGGTAAACCCCGTTAAGGGGGGTCTCTGAGGGTACCCCTACAGCCCAGGTAAACCCCGTTAAGGGGGGTCTCTGGGGGTACCCCTACAGCCCAGGTAAACCCCCGTTAAGGGGATCTCTGGGGGTACCCCTACAGCCCAGGTAAACCCCGTTAAGGGGGTCTCTGGGGGTACCCCTACAGCTCAGGTAAACCCCCGTTAAGGGGGTCTCTGGGGGTACCCCTACAGCCCAGGTAAACCCCTTTAAGGGGGGGTCTCTGGGGGTACCCCTACAGCCCAGGTAAACCCCGTTAAGGGGGTCTCTGTGTGTGTGAGTACCCCAGCTAAGGGGAACCCCAGCTAGGGGGTACCCCAGCTAGGGGGTACCCCAGCTAGGGGGTCTCTCTGTGTGTGTACCTCCTAGCTAGGGGGTACCCCAGCTAGGGGGTCTCTGTGTGTGTGTGTGAGTACCCCTTAGCTAGGGGGTCTCTCTGTGTGTGTGAGTACCCCCTAGCTAGGGGGTCTCTCTGTGTGTGTGGGTACCCCCTAGCTAGGGGTCTCTCTGTGTGTGTGTACCCCCTAGCTAGGGGGTACCCCAGCTAGGGGGTCTGTGTGAGTACCCCCTAGCTAGGGGGTCTCTCTGTGTGTGTGAGTACCCCCCAGCTAGGGGGTCTCTGTGTGTGTGTGTGGGTACCCCCTAGCTAGGGGTCTCTCTGTGTGTGTGTACCCCCTAGCTAGGGGGTACCCCAGCTAGGGGGTCTCTCTCGTCTGTGTGTGTACCCCCTAGCTAGGGGGTCTCTGTGTGTGAGTACCCCCTAGCTAGGGGGTACCCCTAGCTAGGGCGTCTCTCTGTGTGTGTGAGTACCCCCCAGCTAGGGGGTCTCTGTGTGTGTGTGTGTGTACCCCCTAGCTAGGGGGTACCCCAGCTAGGGGGTCTCTCTCTGTGTGTGTGTACCCCCCAGCTAGGGGGTCTGTGTGTGTGTGTGTGTACCCCCTAGCTAGGGGGTCTCTGTGTGTGTGTGTGTGTACCCCCTAGCTAGGGGGTCTCTCTCTGTGTGTGTGTACCCCCCAGCTAGGGGGTCTCTGTGTGTGTGTGTACCCCCTAGCTAAGGGGTACCCCAGCTAGGGGGTCTCTCTCTGTGTGTCTCAGTCTGCTAGACCTGAGAGGCTTTGTCGCTCCGGACATCCAAGAGACATCAAACTCCTCCACGCTTGGCATGCAGCCGGTACCACTCAGCTACCTGTCACCTACCTCTCACTCACCTACCACTCAGCTACCACTCAGCTACCACTCAGCTACCTATCAGCTACCTCTCAGCTACCCACTCACTCAGCTACCTCTCACTCACCTACCACTCAGCTACCACTCACTCACCTACCACTCAGCTACCCTCTCAGCTACCCACTCAGCTACCTATCACTCACCTACCACTCACCTACCACTCAGCTACCACTCACCACTCACCTACCACTCAGCTACCCACTCACCTACCTCTCACTCACCTACCACTCAGCTACCACTCACTCACCTACCACTCAGCTACCTCTCAGCTACCACTCAGCTACCACTCACCACTCACCTACCACTCACCACTCACCTACCACTCACCACTCACCTACCACTCACCACTCACCTACCACTCACTCACCTACCACTCACCACTCACCTACCACTCACCTACCACTCACCTACCACTCACCTACCACTCAGCTACCACTCACCTACCACTCACCTACCACTCACTCACCTACCACTCACCACTCACCTACCACTCACTCACCTACCACTCACCTACCACTCACCTACCACTCACCTACCACTCAGCTACCTCTCAGCTACCACTCACCTACCACTCAGCTACCTCTCACCTACCTCTCACTCACCTACCACTCAGCTACCACTCACCACTCACCTACCACTCACTCACCTACCACTCACCACTCACCTACCACTCACTCACCTACCACTCACCTACCACTCAGCTACCACTCACCTACCACTCACCTACCACTCACCTACCACTCAGCTACCTGTCACCTACCACTCACGTACCACTCAGCTACTCACTCAGCTACCTCTCAGCTACCACTCACCTACCTCTCACCTACCACTCAGCTACCTCTCAGCTACCCACTCACTCAGCTACCTCTCACTCACCTACCACTCAGCTACCTCTCAGCTACCTCTCACCTACCTCTCACCTACCACCCAGCTACCACTCACCTACCACTCAGCTACCACTCACCTACCCACCCACCTACCACTCATCTACCACTCAGCTACTCACTCGCCTACCCACTCACCTACCACTCAGCTACTCACTTGCCTACTCACTCACCTACCCACTCACCTACCACTCAGCTACCACTCACCAACCTCTCACATACTCACTCACCTCACTCACATTCCTACCCACTCACCTACCTTTCTCCTACCACTCACCTACCTTTCTCCTACCACTCACCTACCTTTCTCCTACCACTCACCTACCCACTCACCTACCACTCACCTACCCACTCACCTACCACCCAGCTACTCACTCACCTACCACTCACCACTCACCTACTCACTCGCCTACCAACTCAGCTACCACTCACCTACCCACCCACCTTCCTACTTGCCTACCCACCCACCTTCCTACTCGCCTACCACTCACCTACCTCTCACCTACTCACTCACCTACCCACTCACCTACCACTCACCTACCCATTCAGCTACCACTCAGCTACCCGCAGCTACCCACACACCTACCCACTCACCTACCACTCACCTACCACACAGCTACTCACTCACCTACCACTCACCTACCCACTCACCTACCACACAGCTACTCACTCACCTACCACTCACCTACCACACAGCTACCACACAGCTACTCACTCACCTACCACTCACCTACCCACTCAGCTACCACTCACCTACCACTCAGCTACTCACTCACCTACCACTCGCCTACCCACTCACCAACCTCTCACCTACCTCACCTACCACTCGCCTACTCGCTGACCTACCTCTCAGCTACCTCTCAGCTACCCACTCAGCTACCTCTCAGCTACTCACTCAGCTACCACTCAGCTACCTCTCAGCTACCTCTCACCTACCCACTCACCTACCACTCAGCTACCTCTCACGTACCACTCACCTACCACTCACCTACCTCTCACCTACCCACTCAGCTACCTCTCAGCTACTTCTCACCTACCTATCAGCTACCCACTCACGTACCACTCAGCTACCTCTCACGTACCACTCACCTACCCACTCAGCTACCTCTCAGCTACCACTCGGCTACCTATCAGCTACATGTCACCTACCACTCACCTACCACTCACCTACCACTCGCCTACCACTCAGCTACCACTCAGCTACCTCTCACCTACCGCTCACCTACCACTCAGCTACCCACTCAGCTACCCACTCAGCTACCTATCAGCTACCCACTCAGCTACCCACTCAGCTACCTCTCACCTACCACTCACCTACCACTCAGCTACCACTCACCAACCACTCAGCTACCTCTCAGCTACCACTCACCACTCACCTACCACTCAGCTACCTCTCACCTACCTGTCACCTACCACTCACCTACCTCTCACCTACCACTCGCCTACCTCTCACCTACCACTCAGCTACCTCTCAGCTACCTCTCACCTACCACTCACTCACCTACCACTCACCACTCACCTACCACTCAGCTACCACTCACCTACCACTCACCTACCTCTCACCTACCACTCAGCTACCTCTCAGCTACCTCTCACCTACCACTCACTCACCTACCACTCACCACTCACCTACCACTCGCCTACCTCTCACCTACCACTCACCTACCTCTCACCTACCACTCAGCTACCTCTCACCTACCACTCAGCTACCTCTCACCTACCACTCGCCTACCTCTCACCTACCACTCGCCTACCTCTCACCTACCACTCACCTACCTGTCACCTACCACTCAGCTACCTCTCAGCTACCTCTCAGCTATCTCTCACCTACCACTCAGCTACCACTCACCTACCCACCCACCTACCACTCATCTACCACTCAGCTACTCACTCGCCTACCCACTCACCTACCACTCAGCTACTCACTCACCTACCCACTCACCTACCACTCAGCTACCACTCAGCTACCACTCACCAACCTCTCACATACTCACTCACCTCACTCACATTCCTACCCACTCACCTACCACTCACCTACCTTTCTCGTACCACTCACCTACCACCCACCTACCACTCACCTACCCACTCACCTACCACTCACTTACAACTCAGCTACCCACTCAGCTACCCACTCAGCTACCCACTCACCTACAACTCAGCTACCACTCACCTACCACCCAGCTACTCACTCACCTACCACTCACCTACTCACTCGCCTACCAACTCACCAACCTCTCACCTACCCACCCACCTTCCTACTCGCCTACCCACTCACCTACCCACTCACCTACCCACTCACCTACCCACTCACCTACCACTCAGCTACCTCTCACCTACCACTCACCTACCACTCACCTACCTCTCACCCACCACACAGCTACCACTCACCAACCTCTCACCTACCAGTCACCTACCTCTCACCTACTCACTCACCTAACCACTCACCTACCACTCACCTACCCATTCAGCTACCACTCAGCTACCACTCACCTACCACTCACCTACTCGCTGACCTACTCGCTCACCTACCACTCACCTACCACACAGCTACCACTCACCTACCTCTCGCCTACCACTCACCTACCTCTCACCTACCCACTCACCTACCCACTCACCTACCCGCTCACCTACTCGCTCACCTACTCGCTCACCTACTCGCTCACCTACCCACTCACCTACCACTCACCTACCACTCACCTACTCTCCTGCCTACTCACCCACTCGGCGTGGTGAATGAGTGGTGAGTGAGGTGGGCGAGTGGTGAGTGGTGGGTGAGGTGAGTGGGTGGTAAGTGGTGAGTGGGTGGTGAATGAGTGGTGAGTGAGGTGAGTGGGTGGGTGAGTGGGTGGGTGAGTGGGTGAGTGAGTGAGTGAATGGGTGAGTGGGTGAGTGTATGATTGAGTGGGTGGGTGAGTTGTGAGTAACTATTTTGATCTCTTTCCTCCACAGATCTCTGCATCACAACCACCACAACTACCATCACCACAACTACCACAAGTATCACCACCACCATCACCACCACAATTATCACCACAATCACTACCATCACCACAACTACCATCATCATCACCACCACCACCACCGTCACTAACATCACCACCATCACTAACATCACCACCATCACCACCATCACTACCACAACTACCACCACCACTGCTACCACCGCCACCATCACCACTGCTACCATCGCCACCATCACTACCACAACCATCACAACCACAACCACCATCACTACCACCACAACCACATCCACAACCACCATCACTACCACCACAACAACCACCACCATCACAACCACCACCACCATCACTACCACAACCATCGCCACCATCACTACCACAACCACCGCCACCATCACTACCACAACAACCACCACCAACACCACCATCACCACGACCACCTCCGTCACCTCCACTGCCCAACGCACTCGCCAGGGCGGATGATGAAGACACTGAGAGGGCGAGGAGCTCCAATGATGATGATGATGATGACGATGATGATGATGACGATGTCGATGGCGATGATGATGTTGAGAGAGGAGCGGGGTCCGTCTTGGTGGCCATACTTCACCACTCCAGTGCCTTTGCTGGGGCCACGGGGAGGAGTGGAGCGGTGAAAATGAGTGCGGTGTGAGATGTACCTAGCCTGGCACTGTCGTGGGTGGGGTGGATGATTGGGTGGGTGGATGATTGGGTGAGTCGGTGAGTATGTTGGTGGCTGGGTGGGTGGGGTGAGTGACTGACTGGGTGGGTGGGTGGGTGAGTGGGTGGGGTGGATGATTGGGTGAGTGGATGATTGGGTCGGTGAGTATGTGGGTGGGGTGAGTGACTGGGTGGGTGAGTGGGTGAGTGGGTGGGGTGAGTGACTGACTGGGTGGGTGGGTGAGTGGGTGGATGAGTTGGTGAGTGAGTGAGTGAGTCGGTGAGTATGTTGGTGGCTGGGTGAGTGGGTGAGTGGATGATTGGGTGGGTGAGTCGGTGAGTATGTTGGTGGCTGGGTGAGTGGGTGAGTGGATGATTGAGTGGGTGAGTCGGTGAGTATGTGGGTGGGTGATTGGGTGAGTGGATGATTGGGTGAGTCGGTGAGTATGTGGGTGAGTGGGTGGGGTGAGTGACTGACTGGGTGGGTGAGTGGGTGGGGTGAGTGACTGGGTGGATGAGTTGTTGAGTGAGTGAGTCGGTGAGTATGTTGGTGGCTGGGTGAGTGGATGATTGGGTGGGTGAGTCGGTGAGTATGTGGGTGGGTGATTGGGTGAGTCGGTGAGTATGTGGGTGGGTGGGTGAGTGGGTGAGTGGATGGGTGAGTGGGTGGGGTGAGCGACTGACTGGGTGGGTGGGTGAGTGGGTAGGGTGAGCGACTGACTGGGTGGGTGGGTGAGTGGGTGGGGTGAGTGACTGACTGGGTGGGTGGGTGAGTGGGTGGATGAGTTGTTGAGTGAGTGAGTCGGTGAGTATGTGGGTGGGTGAGTGGATGATTGGGTGGGTGGGTCGGTGAGTATGTTGGTGGCTGGGTGAGTGGATGATTGAGTGGGTCGGTGAGTATGTTGGTGGCTGGGTGAGTGGGTGAGTGGATGATTGAGTGGGTGAGTCGGTGAGTGGGTGAGTGGATGATTGGGTGAGTCGGTGAGTGGGGGGGGGTGAATGACTGACTGGGTGGGTGAGTGGGTGGATGAGTTGGTGAGTATGTTGGTGGCTGGGTGATTGGGTGAGTGGATGATTGGGTGAGTCGGTGAGTATGTGGGTGAGTGGGTGGGGGGAGTGACTGACTGGGTGGGTGGGTGAGTGGGTGGATGAGTTGAGTGAGTGAGTGGGGGAGTGGGTGAGTATGTGGGTGAGTAGGTGAGTATGTGGGTGGATGGGTGAGTAGGTGAGTGTGGGTGGATGGGGTGAGTGACTGACTGACTGGGTGGGTGGCTGAGTGGGTGGATGAGTTGGTGAGTGAGTGAATCGGTGAGTATGCTGGTGGGTGAGTGGATGATTGGGTGAGTCGGTGAGTATGTGGGTGGATGATTGTGTGGGGTGAGTGACTGACTGGGTGGGTGAGTGGGTGGATGAGTTGGTGAGTCGGTGAGTATGTGGGTGGATGATTGGGTGAGGTGAGTGAGTGGGTGGATGAGTTGGTGAGTGAGTGGGCGAGTCGGTGAGTATGTTGGTCGATGACTGGGTGAGTTAATGGGTGGGTGGATGATTGGGTAAGGTGAGTGGGTGGGTGGATGAGTTGGTGAGTGGGTGGATGAGTGAGTGGATGAGTGACTGGGTGAGTGAGTGACTGGGTGAGTGAGTGGATGAGTGAGTGAGTTGGTGAGTGAGTTGGTGAGTGAGTTGGTGAGTTGGTGAGTGAGTTGGTGAGTGAGTTTGTGAGTTGGTGAGTGAGTTGGTGAGCGAGTTTGTGAGTTGGTGAGTTGGTGAGCGAGTTTGTGAGTTGGTGAGTGAGTTGGTGAGCGAGTTGGTGAGTTGGTGAGTGAGTTGGTGAGCGAGTTTGTGAGTTGGTGAGTGAGTTGGTGAGTGAGTGATTGAGTGAGTGAGTTGGTGAGTGAGTGATTGAGTTGGTGAGTTGGTGAGTGAGTTTGTGAGTGAGTTGGTGAGTGAGTTGGTGAGTGTGATTGAGTTGGTGAGTGAGTTTGTGAGTTGGTGAGTGAGTTGGTGAGTGAGTTGGTGAGTGAGTTGGTGAGTGAGTTGGTGAGTGAGTTGGTGAGTGAGTTGGTGAGTGAGTTGGTGAGTTGGTGAGTGAGTTTGTGAGTGGTCCACGTCGTGCCCGTCTTAGAGGTGGTGGGTTGGTTACCCCTCCACCTCCCCGCATCTCCCGAATCTACGAGTTACATTGTCCCTCTCTCTCTCCCCACCACTCTCTCCCCACCACTCTCTCCCCACTCTCTCTCTCCCCACTCTCTCCCCTCTCTCTCCCCGCCACTCTCTCTCCCATCGCCAAATTAACGATGGCCGTGTTGATCAAATCGCCTTGTATTTTAATTGTTGTTGTGCCAGATTTGGCCACTGGGTGGCAGATACCTGCTTAGGCTTCGATGAGAGGTGCCCATTCGCACCTGAATACCGCTCGCTCATCCGCCCGCTCGCTCACCCGCCCACTCGCTCACCCACCCACTCGCTCACCCACCCACTCGCTCACCCATCCACTCGCTCACTCACCTACTCACCCGCTCACTCGCCCACCCGCTCACCCACCTATTCACCCGCTCACTTGCCCGCTCACCCATCTGCTCACTCAATCGCTCACTCGCCCACCCGCTCACTCACCCACTCGCTCACTCACCCATCCACTCACCCACCTACTCACCCGCTCACTTGCCCGCTCACTCACTCACCTATCTGCTCACTCAACCGCTCACTCACCCACCCGCTCACTCACCCACCCGCTCACTCACCCACCTACTCACCCGCTCGCCCATCTGCTCACTCACCCGCTCACTCGCTCACTCGCCCGCTCCCCCACGCGCTCACTCACCCACCCGCTCACCCACGCACTCACTCGCCCACCTACTCACCCGCTCACTTACCCATCTGCTCACTCACCCGCCCACTCGCCCACCCGCTCACTCACCCACTCGCTCACTCACCCACTCGCTCACTCACCCACTCGCTCAATCACCCACTCGCTCACTCACCCACCTGCTCACTCACCCACTCACTCACCCACCTACTCACCCGCTCACTTACCCATCTGCTCACTCACCCGCTCACTCGCCCACTCACTCGCTCACTCACCCACTCACCCACCTACTCATCCGCTCACCCATCTGCTCACTCACCCGCTCACTCGCCCGCCCGCTCACTCACCCACTCGCTCACTCACCCACCTGCTCACTCACTCACCTGCTCACTCACCTACCCGCTCACCCACCTACTCACCCGCTCACTTACCCATCTGCTCACTCACCCGCCCACTCGCTCGCCCACCCACCCACTCACCCACTCGCTCACTCACCCACCTGCTCACTCGCTCGCCCACTCGCCCACCCGCCCGCTCACCCACCCGCTCACCCACCCGCTCGCTCGCCCACTCACCGCTCACTCGCTCACTCGCTCACTCCACCATCCCTCAGTTTGGGGGGGGGGGGGGTACCCCCCAGTGGCAGCTGTCCCTGTCGCTGTGCGCGTCCACCGCCGGAGAACGTGGGGGAATGTGGTGCTACATTTTGACGATGTTTTAATAAAGATTTCTAAGACTCTCCCTCCGACTTGGCGCCAGAGAAGTTCAACATGCGTACGTGGGGAGCAACATCCTCCTCCTCCTCCTGGGACATCAACCACACACCATGGGCAGTGCTGAGTCTATGGGTGGCAGTGCTGAGTCTATGGGGGCTCAGTGTTGAGTCTATGGGTGGCAGTGCTGAGTCTATGGGTGGCAGTGCTGAGTCTATGGGTGACAGTGTTGAGTCTGTGAGTGACAGTGTTGAGTCTATGGGTGGCAGTGTTGAGTCTATGGGTGACAGTGTTGAGTCTATGGGTGACAGTGCTGAGTCTATGGGTGGCAGTGTTGAGTCTGTGGGTGACAGTGCTGAGTCTATGGGTCTCAGTGCTGAGTCTATGGGTGGCAGTGCTGAGTCTGTGGGTGGCAGTGCTGAGTCTGTGGGTGGCAGTGCTGAGTCTATGGGTCTCAGTGCTGAGTCTGTGGGTGACAGTGCTGAGTCTGTGGGTGGCAGTGTTGAGTCTGTGGGTGACAGTGCTGAGTCTGTGGGTGGCAGTGTTGAGTCTATGGGTGACAGTGCTGAGTCTATGGGTGACAGTGCTGAGTCTATTGGTGACAGTGCTGAGTCTGTGGGTGGCAGTGCTGAGTCTATGGGTGACAGTGCTGAGTCTATGGGTGGCAGTGCTGAGTCTATGGGTGACAGTGCTGAGTCTATGGGTGACAGTGCTGAGTATATGGGTGGCAGTGCTGAGTCTATGGGTGACAGTGCTGAGTCTATGGGTGACAGTGCTGAGTCTATGGGTGGCAGTGCTGAGTCTATGGGTGACAGTGTTGAGTCTATGGGGGCTCAGTGTTGAGTCTATGGGTGACAGTGCTGAGTCTATGGGTGACAGTGCTGAGTCTATGGGTGGCAGTGCTGAGTCTATGGGTGAGTGCTGAGTCTATGAGTGGCAGTGTTGAGTCTATGGGTGACAGTGCTGAGTCTATGGGTGGCAGTGCTGAGTCTGTGGGTGGCAGTGCTGAGTCTGTGGGTGGCAGTGCTGAGTCTATGGGTGGCAGTGCTGAGTCTATGGGTGGTAGTGCTGAGTCTATGGGTGGCAGTGCTGAGTCTATGGGTGGGTGGTAGTGCTGAGTCTATGGGTCTCAGTGCTGAGTCTATGGGTCTCAGTGTTGAGTCTGTGGGTCTTAGTGTTGAGTCTATGGGTGGCAGTGTTGAGTCTGTGGGTGACAGTGTTGAGTCTATGGGTGGCAGTGCTGAGTCTGTGGGTGACAGTGCTGAGTCTGTGGGTGGCAGTGCTGAGTCTGTGGGTGGCAGTGCTGAGTCTGTGGGTGGCAGTGCTGAGTCTATGGGTGGGTGGTAGTGCTGAGTCTATGGGTCTCAGTGCTGAGTCTATGGGTGGCAGTGCTGAGTCTGTGGGTGGCAGTGCTGAGTCTATGGGGGCTCAGTGTTGAGTCTATGGGTGACAGTGCTGAGTCTATGGGTGACAGTGCTGAGTCTATTGGTGACAGTGCTGAGTCTGTGGGTGGCAGTGCTGAGTCTATGGGTGACAGTGCTGAGTCTATGGGTGGCAGTGCTGAGTCTATGGGTGACAGTGCTGAGTCTATGGGTGACAGTGCTGAGTATATGGGTGGCAGTGCTGAGTCTATGGGTGACAGTGCTGAGTCTATGGGTGACAGTGCTGAGTCTATGGGTGGCAGTGCTGAGTCTATGGGTGACAGTGTTGAGTCTATGGGGGCTCAGTGTTGAGTCTATGGGTGACAGTGCTGAGTCTATGGGTGACAGTGCTGAGTCTATGGGTGGCAGTGCTGAGTCTATGGGTGAGTGCTGAGTCTATGAGTGGCAGTGTTGAGTCTATGGGTGACAGTGCTGAGTCTATGGGTGGCAGTGCTGAGTCTGTGGGTGGCAGTGCTGAGTCTGTGGGTGGCAGTGCTGAGTCTATGGGTGGCAGTGCTGAGTCTATGGGTGGTAGTGCTGAGTCTATGGGTGGCAGTGCTGAGTCTATGGGTGGGTGGTAGTGCTGAGTCTATGGGTCTCAGTGCTGAGTCTATGGGTCTCAGTGTTGAGTCTGTGGGTCTTAGTGTTGAGTCTATGGGTGGCAGTGTTGAGTCTGTGGGTGACAGTGTTGAGTCTATGGGTGGCAGTGCTGAGTCTGTGGGTGACAGTGCTGAGTCTGTGGGTGGCAGTGCTGAGTCTGTGGGTGGCAGTGCTGAGTCTGTGGGTGGCAGTGCTGAGTCTATGGGTGGGTGGTAGTGCTGAGTCTATGGGTCTCAGTGCTGAGTCTATGGGTGGCAGTGCTGAGTCTGTGGGTGGCAGTGCTGAGTCTATGGGGGCTCAGTGTTGAGTCTATGGGTGACAGTGTTGAGTCTATGGGTGACAGTGCTGAGTCTATGGGTGACAGTGCTGAGTCTATGGGTGGCAGTGCTGAGTCTATGGGTGACAGTGTTGAGTCTATGGGTCTCAGTGCTGAGTCTGTGGCAGTGCTGAGTCTATGGGTGGCAGTGCTGAGTCTGTGGGTGACAGTGCTGAGTCTATGGGTGACAGTGCTGAGTCTATGGGTGGCAGTGCTGAGTCTGTGGGTCTCAGTGCTGAGTCTATGGGTGGCAGTGCTGAGTCTGTGGGTGGCAGTGCTGAGTCTATAGGTGACAGTGCTGAGTCTATGGGTGGCAGTGCTGAGTCTATGGGTGGCAGTGTTGAGTCTGTGGGTGACAGTGCTGAGTCTGTGGTTGGCAGTGCTGAGTCTATGGGTCTCAGTGCTGAGTCTGTGGGTGACAGTGCTGAGTCTTTGGGTGGCAGTGCTGAGTCTATGGGTCTCAGTGCTGAGTCTGTGGGTGGCAGTGTTGAGTCTATGGGTGACAGTGCTGAGTCTGTGGGTGGCAGTGTTGAGTCTATGGGTGACAGTGCTGAGTCTATGGGTGGCAGTGCTGAGTTTGTGGGTAGCAGTGCTGAATCTATGGGTGGCAGTGTTGAGTCTGTGGCTCTCAGTGCTGAGTCTGTGGGTGGCAGTGTTGAGTCTATGGGTGACAGTGCTGAGTCTATGGGTGACAGTGTTGAGTCTATGGGTGACAGTGTTGAGTCTGTGGGTGACAGTGCTGAGTCTGTGGGTGGCAGTGCTGAGTCTATGGGTGACAATGCTGAGTCTATGGGTGGCAGTGTTGAGTCTATGGGTGACAGTGCTGAGTCTATGGGTGGCAGTGCTGAGTCTGTGGGTAGCAGTGCTGAATCTATGGGTGGCAGTGCTGAGTCTATGGGTGACAGTGTTGAGTCTGTGGCTCTCAGTGCTGAGTCTGTGGGTGGCAGTGTTGAGTCTATGGGTGACAGTGCTGAGTCTATGGGTGACAGTGTTGAGTCTGTGGGTGACAGTGCTGAGTCTGTGGGTGACAGTGCTGAGTCTGTGGGTGGCAGTGTTGAGTCTATGGGTGGCAGTGTTGAGTCTATGGGTGGCAGTGCTGAGTCTATGGGTGACAGTGCTGAGTCTGTGGGTCTCAGTGTTGAGTCTATGGGTGGTAGTGCTGAGTCTGTGGGTGGCAGTGTTGAGTCTATAGGTGACATTGTTGAGTCTATGGGTGACAGTGCTGAGTCTATGGGTGGCAGTGTTGAGTCTGTGGGTGGCAGTGCTGAGTCTATGGGTGACAGTGTTGAGTCTATGGGTGGCAGTGTTGAGTCTATGGGTGGCAGTGTTGAGTCTATGGGTGGCAGTGTTGAGTCTATGGGTGGCAGTGTTGAGTCTATGGGTGGCAGTGCTGAGTCTGTGGGTGGCAGTGCTGAGTCTATGGGTGGCAGTGCTGAGTCTATGGGTGGCAGTGCTGAGTCTGTGGGTGGCAGTGTTGAGTCTATGGGTGGCAGTGCTGAGTCTATGGGTGACAGTGTTG